TATAAAAATCACCTTAAGCTTCTCTTTTCCTTGACTCTATACTGGTGCTTTTACTTCCAAAGCCAAGTGAGGTAACTTCTCCCACTCCCTTCATTAGCATTTCTCTGGAGAAGAGCCTGGAATTAATGATGGTACAAACACTTCCCAAGGAATTTCTCCTAGGAAACGTTTCACCTCCTCCAGTTAAACATTCTGGGGGGAGAGTTCCTGCTCACTGTGCCTTGGGTTGAAGGTCAAACCTGTTGTTGGCCCTGCCTGGGGGAGCTCTAAGTGGAACTTTTCATCATCCTCTCTCCCTCCCCTGGTGCCAGGGAAAAAGGTTTGGGAAGCTGTTCCACTCCAAGACTTCCTGAGGGGATCAAATGGAGCAGGGCTTAGGGATGAAGTGGGAGGGAATCTCCACAGCAGAGCAGGAGGGGAAAATTGGGCTGAGATGAGCTAAAATGACATTCCCATTGCTCCAAGTTCACTACTGGGAGCAGCAGGGACATTCCCAGTGCCCCATGGAACAGTAGTGACATTCTCAGTGTCACGTGGGTCAGTAGTGACATTCCCAGTGCCACATGGAACAGGCAGGAGCAGCAGTGACATTCCCAGTGCCACATGGAATAGCAGTGACATTCCCAGTGTTCCATGGAGCAGCAGGGACATGGAACAGGCAGGAGCAGCAGTGACATTCCCAGCTCTTAACTGTCCTACTCCAGGGAAAGCTCCTCCAGGGGCTCCCACATTTCCAGGGCTCTCCCAGAGAGCTGGAGCTGTGCACGCTGTGCCAAGGGAGGGAGCAGAGCTCCTCATCCCAGTTTTCCCTGCCCTCGGGATTGGGGTGCCAGGACAGGGAATGAGGAAGGACCAGGACTTTGTTGACTCAGAGTTTGGGCACATTTCCCATGGAGGATCCAGCACCAATCCTGCTCCAGCCAGCTGAAAATGTCACTTTTCCACACTTTTCCCTGCTAAATGACAGTGTCCAAGGGTTGAGCAGGACAGGCAGGGAAGGGTTTGGCTCCACTCCATCTCCTGCTCTGCTCATCCAACCCGGGAGCTCTAACCCTCATGGGCTTCCCCTCCTCTTCCTCCCAGCAGGATTTCTGCTCCCAATGTCCCAGGTTTCCTGTTCCAGCTGGAGAAGGGGAGGGACTCCTGGCTTTGGGGCCACGGACAGGGCTCTGCCTCCAGACAGCAGCAGGAGGAGGAGGAGGAGAAGGAGGAGGAGGATGTGCTTCTTCCACTCAGCTCCACATCCTGCTCCAGGGCTCATCGGGAAGGACAGACAGATGGGAATGAAGGAGGAAACTTTAGGCTGCCAAGCCAAGAAGTTGGGATTTAACCTCTGGAGCAGATGAAGAGACGATTCCTCTTTGCTGTCGCCTGTTCCAAGGAGGATTTGCCAACATGCAGCAACAAGGAGGTAAGGAAAAAGTTCAGGCTCATCAGCTCCCACTGCTCCAAGGTCCAGCAGGATCCCACTGGGATGGGGGAGAGGATGGAAGGAGATAAACAGAGAGAGCTTCCCTGAGAGCTGATCCAGCAGTGACTCCCAGCTCCTGGCACTAACCACACTGAGCTGCTTAGCACTAAAATCCCTCCAAGCTCAAGTACTTCCAGTAATTTAGTGGGAAGAAGAAAGGATTTTAAACTGTTTCCAGGTAGGGATAATGTGCTGTTTAACATCCCTTGTCAGAAAAGGTTGGGGGAAGCTTCACCCACATTCCAAAGGGGAATGCAGAGTGCTGGGACCTCCCTGGCAACAGCAAAAGAGCCTCTTGAATGCTCCAAGGCATCTGCTACCTCCATGGGAAGAGAGTTTGAATGGAACCAGTAGTGGGAGAAGGTGTTGATGTGTCCTGACATTCTCCTTAGCAGGGGAGAGGAAGGAGGAGGAAGAGCAGGAGGCTCCAGCAGCCAGGAAGAGCCCAGGGCATGGAGCAGCAGACAGAGGTTGGGCATGGGCTGTGGTGCTTCACTTCTTCCTGGTAAGCAGAGATAAATCCAACTAAACCTTCCTGGATAGGATTGGATCTCCAGGCTGATCCCACCACCACAGGGCACAACCCAAACCTGTTTGCTATGCACTCACCTCCCCTAGGAAGTGCCACCTGCAAACATCTCCACGGTGTCCCTGAGGGTCCCCATGGCCAAAAGGCACCTTGAAAGGCTAAGATGACTTTTCTCTCCTCAAACACATCCTCACTGGGATGTCAGATCCCAAAGGGTGTCCTTGCTCTTCAGCAAGGGTGAGATCCCACCTTGGGATGGTCCCAGGGAGGATCCAACTCACAGTTTCTCTCTCCTGGGAGAACCAGGAACTCCATACCTAAAGGCACTGATTGTCCATGCCACAGGTTCTACCACCACACATCAGCTCCAAACCTGTGATGATCACAGGATCCTTAAGGTTGGAAAAGACCTTTAAGGTCATCAAACCCATCTGTGCTTACCCATCCCCCAAGCTAGGAAAGCTTTCCCCATTTCCACTCCGTGCCAAGGAACTTGGTGCCAATCATTAACCTCCTGCTCCCAGGGAGGTGAGAGGGAGTTAAAATTAAGGACATCAAGTGTCTCTGTCCTTTGTCCTCATGCCCAGGAATCTGCCCTGGATAACATCCATCCCTGTCCACTCAACCCTCATCCACTCCCAGTGATCTTCACCACTGCCAAGACCCACTTAGATTAATTCTAACACTAAAAAAGTGACTTAAAGAGCAAAAATATCCTAGAAGAGTCAGGATCTGGTGGTGTTGTCTTTCTTTCCTTCGGAAAACCAGTTTGGAGTGGGTTTTTGAGGGCTTGTTGGGATGAAACGAACTTGGCCACCACCAGCCAACCCTGCTGGTACTCCCCAACACCAGTTCCTGTGTCCCAGTTTGTTTCTCCCACAACACAACAAATTATCCACACAGGAAAAGCAGAAGGAAAAGCTTTTCCTCACCCAAGCAAAGCAGAAGGAAAAGCTTTTCCTCCCTCCTGATCCCCCTGTGGCATCTCACCTCCATCTGCTCCCACCTCAGGTCAATGTCCTCGTCATGGGGATGCTCAAGACCTTTGGGATCTTCTTTGTGGCTTTCCAAGAGGATGTTGGGGGTTCCTCAGAGCAGATCAGCTGGATTGGCTCCATCATGTCCTCTCTGCGCTTCCTAGGAGGTGAGTTGGGATCCCTAGGGATTGGGACACCAGTTCAACCTCGAGGCCACTGAGGATGCTCTGGGGATCCAATTCCCAGCCCAGACTGTGCAACCCAGGCATGGCTGGTGCCCACAGGTGTCCTAGCA